TGTCCAAAAGAATCGCATTTAACGGCGGTGAAACGGATAATGAAGTATCTTGTTGGCACAATGAACGTTGGACTATGGTACCCCAAGGGGTCTCCGTGTCATCTTTTTGGCTATTCCGACTCGGACTTTGCCGGTTGTAGATTAGACCGTAAGAGTACGAGTGGGACTTGTCACTTGCTTGGTAGTTCTTTAGTCTCATGGTTTAGCAAGAAGCAAGTCAGTGTTGCGTTATCCACAACCGAAGCGGAATATGTTGCCGCCGGTAGTTGTTGTGCTCAAATCCTTTGGATGAAGCAACAACTTGTGGATTATGGCCTTAGTATCGATCACGTCCCTCTTCGATGTGATAATACTAGTGCCATAAGCTTGACGAAGAATCCGGTTCTTCACTCAAGGACGAAACATATTGACATTAGGCATCATTTCATTAGAGATCATGTTCTCAAAGGTGATGTCGAAATTGAGTTCGTTGAAACACACAACTAATTAGCCGACATTTTCACAAAACCTTTAGAGAAAGAGTCGTTCTTCCGCATTCGTAGTGAACTCGAAATCCTTGACTCCACGATGATCTAAATTGTGCATAAAGTATTATTTTTTGGTCCCTACTAACTTGAACGTCGGAGACGTTTTTAATTCTTTTTTGCAGGGCTCCTTTTAAATCTTATTTTTCAGGTGTCAAAGGCAGGGGGAACATGTAAATCGATTTTTGCTTCAGACCTAGTGTAAATTGATTTACAGGCTTGTGATAATCGACTATCACAGCCTGCAGAAGTTTAGAGCACAGAAGCTGACAGAGTAAACAATCGATTATCAACATTACGATAATCGATTATCTGAGCCTGCAGAAGTTTAATGCAACTCAGGCGCAACCTCTAACAATCGATTTACCAAAACATGACAATCGACTATTGAAGACTGCAGGACCATCTGCGGAGAATCTGAGGCATCTGATAATCGATTGACAGGTCATGTTAATCGATTTACAACGACAGATTTTCAAAAATCTGACCGTTGCAGAGACGTTGGAGAGCAGTTAATGCCTTGTTTGACCATCCCAACGGATCTCTACACCTCCTCCATTATATATTGGTGATATCTACTCCATTTTTACTCATTCCAATCATCTCTTCTCCATATATTCATCATAATTCATCATTCTTGCTCCTATTCTTCATTTCTTTCAAAAATTTCTGCAATCTCTCTTGTTGCAATGGCAGGCGGTCAAAGAAAGCTTTCCCGCACCGGCAAGAACGTTGCCTCCTCCTCGGCTCCTCCACCACCGGCGCACAAGTATCTCGACGGGTCGTTCCTTTGGTTCAACGACCACGCAGAGGCGACGCGGTTCTCGGAGAAATTTGAGCACCAGGAGATTCTCCCTCCCCGATTCTCCACCGCCCGCTTCATTCATGACTCCATTCCACGTGAGGCACGGGTTATCCTTGAACGTGGAAACTTCCTCG